GAATGTACTGATGATGACCGAATTTACTAGCTGGTTCCAACAGACACTGGTCGAAAATTCTACATGTTATATAAATAATTGACATGAATAAATAAATAAATAATAAATTATTACTGCATTTTCTTTTACTTTAATATGATTTTAGTATATTTATCAAGTTATTTACATTTGTATTTGAAATAAGTAAAAAGAAATTTCTCTTTGCATGATTTTTTTCGGGCAACGAAGATTGGTTACACAGAATTTTGTTTTCTTTTGACAAGGCGACATAATTAAAACGAACTTTATTATGTAAATTGTAGAGCTTTTCACGCAGCATCTTGTGATATATTTTGTTTTTTTTTAAATAAAGGATATCAGATGACAAAAAGATGAAATAAGAACAAATGAACTCATCTTACATCAAAAACTATTGTTTTCGCACATTTGAAACTTGGTCACTCAAAATTTTGTTCATTTTGAAAACAAAAAGTACAACTATAAAAAAAGCCATCTTATGTAAATTGTAGAGCTTTTCACTCTGTATCATTTGGTATATTTTGTTTTCTAATACAACGTATTAAGCGATTCAAATATTTAATCTGCCTCACGCCTCAGTGAAGTTTTACGCAAAAACAGTTCTTATCGAAATTCTATTATTATAATACCAGTTAAATAGAGATGAAATAGCACAGAAAAATAGAGCTTCGTTTTCTCTATCACCTCATAAAAAAAAGAAAATTTACTCAAGCCTTCTATAAGAAATTGAGATGCGGGCGCCACTACTTTTGGTATGTCCTAAGTAGCTGTGCCTTAACTGACATTGACCTGAAGAAAATTACATAAAAAAAAACAATAAGATAATGATTACAACAGCTTATAAGATTTGATTAAAGAATTGAATTTTTCTAAAAAGTAAACGTAATAATAATTATATAAGATACCTCTAGTAAAAACATTAATTACACTCAACGTACAGTGGACGTTATAAGTCTCGCACCACTTTTTTGTTTTGGGTGGTATTACCCAACGGTACGACATTTTCTCAATTATTTTTTTTTGTTCGATAGAGGAGCTCAAGTACTACATATATGTATCAGGATTTAATAGGACAAACTCTTGAATTTAAAATACATAAAAACAAACAAACTTCAGTACCAAGGAAAAAATAACAGAAAAAAAGACAATGCAGTGTTGTCGCCATACGATACTTCCAGGATTAGTCAACCACAAAAATAACTCAAAGTATTTAAAAAACTTTTCATTTTATCAGGTTTTGTAGAGCTTTTTTTGCTGATTATTTTGGTGAGAAAACAGTTTGGATTTCCATAAGAAATGATGGTTTTATAGTCAAAATACTTAACACTATGAAATACTGGCTGTTCCAAAATGTGCCCAACATAGTTTGTTTCGCGAATATCTCTTCACAGGTAAATGATGAAAATTTGGCTTTTTTTTCAAAAGATGCGTCGTGAAGAACTCTACTAAAACCTTTAAGAATAAATCCCTATTGACTTCTTCTATATTCAAAATAAAAGAAAAAATACATGATAATGCTACTTTCCAACCAGTTTAACGTAATCAAAATGTTTGGAAGACTTTTATATTTTGTATGTATCTCGGCTTAAGAAAGGAAAAGCAACTTGATTTTTCTTTCAAAAGATGTGCCTCGAAAAGCTCAACAAAATTTGTATAAACAACTCTTATTCAAAAGAAAAAGTCTTCCAAACATTTTCATTATCATTTTGTCTTTTTTTATGTTATGTTTTCGTTAGTATTGAAGTTTGATTGTTTTTATGTATTTCACATTCAAGAGTTCGTCGTATTAAATCCTAATACATATATGTAGTACTTGAGCTCCTCTATCGAATAAAAAAAAATAATTGAGGAAATGTCGTACCGTTGGGTAATACCACCCAAAACAAAAAGTGCTGCGAGACTTATGACGTCCACTGTAGATCTTTATCTACCCATCTATAATTGAAGCACACTCGTTCTCGTTCTTTTAGTCGCTGTCCTAGACAGGCTTGCCACTGCTCATATCGTTGTTGTCTTCTTTGTCGCCGTGGAAATTGCCGTTATGTTGTTAAAAGTGTTCGTCTTTTATGACTTTCTATTGATCTGAAATAATATCCTATACAGACTAAAACAATTCCAAATTCACCTGACGATGATCCTTAAGCAAGGTCGAAGACGCGTCTTGTGATGCTTTGAACTTCAACTCTTATACTTAAATCTATATATACAAACACACCCCATCTATTTGAATGTCTCTTTTTACCTACTATTGAAAATATCTCTTCGAAATTTTCTGATAGTAGAAATTCATGTATATTAAGTGCTTGGAAGTTTTCTCTTAAAACTTTCATCGTTAATATTACATAGTAAGAGATATATATACAACTCTAACAAGCAATTGATAAGTGATTATCTTAGTGGTAATCGAAACACGTGTCTTTCTAACTTTTAATTGATTTCTTAATCAATTTATTTATACAAACACACCCACACCCTATTCGACAAAGAGAATTAGTTGTTGAAAAGCAAGAGTTAACAGTAGCAGATTGATTTGTATTTTAGATAAATAGCTCGATCTGTTTTTGGATCAACTTGATTGTTTTTCGAATTTTTATTTGGACATTGTAATTGAAGTAGAGATCACCTGATGAGATTGTCTACGCAACAGTCGAAACGCGTCGTGGTAGCTTATACACACCCAAATTAGTAATATATTTGGTAATCGAAACTATTCGAAAGAACCAGAGCAGAATAAAAGCCATCTAATGAACCGCCGAAACTAACACGAAATTGGTCCTGGCACGCGTCTCTACTGGTCATTTAAATTTTCAAATTGAACATCAGTAATTTAAAACAAAGAATCATTTTATGAAAGAATTTTTGTTTTGTTTTTTCTAGTTTATTTCCAAGGATGCCTCGTCATAATCTCTACAAAATTCAACCAGAAGTGATGGAATTGTGTCGAAAATATAACATTCCATATATTGTCAAACCAATGGGACGAGCTTTTTTTGATATTTGAATGTAAATAAATACTGAATTTTTTGAAAAATTATATCATGCTAGTTTGTTTTTCTTTTAGATCACTTGAAAAATCTGGTCGAATGTGGCTTGAAACTTATGAAGAACTGATTCAATCAACACAAACAAAGAAATACTAATTTCTATGCAAACAAAATCAAAAAAACTTTCGCATCACTGTTTTTTCCTTATTCCGGTCATTTACTAAAAACAAAAAGACTCATATGTTTTTTCATTTTTATCTGTTTGATATATATAAATAGATGAGAGAAAATAAATTAAATTAAATTTTTTTTTCTTCATTTTTCAAGATGGATAATAATAACGATAAAGAATATAAAGTAGTCCTAAAATGGAATAAACTAGAATTAATATTTAATCTTCAATCAACTCAAACATCAAGTGAATTAAAAAGTTTAATTTATGAACAAACACATATTTTACCTGATCAACAAAAATTAATGGGATTAAAATTAAAAACACCAGGTACTCTAACAAATACAACAACAGTGGATGAATTAAATCTTTCAACAAAAATTATGTTAATGGGTACACCAGAAGAATCTATAATTGAATTAAATTCATGAAAACCTGTTCAATCTGATTTATCTGAGGGATAAGAAGAAGAACAACAAGATGCAACATGGATTCAAGATTCCGATACAATACCATTAGATAAACGTGAAGATGTAAGAATAAAATTAGAACGTCGAATAAAAACTTATAAAGGAAAAATTTTAAATGAACCATGAGCAGGAAAAAAATTACTTGTATTAGATATTGATTATACATTATTTGATCATCGAAGTGTTGCCGAAACAGGTGCAGAATTAATGAGACCATATTTACATGAATTTTTAACAACAGTTTATGAACATTATTATATTGGAATATGATCAGCTACATCAATGAAATGGATTGAATCAAAAATGAAATTACTCGGTATTGAAGGTATATCACAAGGACGAACAACAAATACAATATTTAATTATAAAATTATTTTTTATATGTATGTTTAAAAAAAACAAATCTTTGATTTTTATGTGTCTTTATTTTCTTTAAAGGGTTTCCGGTGCAATGATATCTGTTTATACAAAAGAATTTGGTCTTGAAGATGTTAACCCTTTGAGGCCAGAATTATTTTTCAATTGAAAAATGGTTCTTTCGTCGATTTATTGTATTTGGCTCAAAATGATTACATACAAGTCCTATGATAATGTATCAAGATAAGAGAGGAAGTGATCATGGCGTCAGTCCATAGAGAAGAAAGAAAAAAAGAAGATCTGAGAAGTATCTATATGACAGGAACAAAGAGAGAAAAGAGATGCATACAACGGCAGCTGGAACGATCTATTACCTTACAATTGATAATAGCTTAATGAGAAATAAACATTTTCCTTACAGGAAAATAGGTGGTATAACCTTTGTACCGCCGGCTCCAAAGGGTTAAACCATTACCTGTAATATGGGAAAAATATCCAACACTTTATTCTGAAAAAAGTACAATTATGTTTGATGATGTATAAAGAAATTTTCTTTTAAATCCATTAAATCGTTTAAAAATTCGTCCATTTAAACGTGCACATTTTACACGTACAACGGATAGGGAATTATTGAATTTAACACAATATTTAATCATGATAGCACAATATGATGATTTTAGTAAACTTGATCATTGACGTTGGGAACAAATGATTGAACGACAACAATTTATTGAACGAAGAAAAAACTAAAATAGAACTTTTCAAGTTTATCTCAATGTTATTCTTTCTTTTTTTCTTAATTTTAATCGTGAGTTATTTGAGCAAGCAAATATATAGTCAATATGCCTTTTGTCTAAAAACCAGAGTAAATCCTAGATAATTATGTATATATGTGATGTCAGACATTTAAATCATTCTCAATGAATAAAACTTATTTCCCATTATCAGGATAAGGATATCTTCAAAAAGAAGATCGACCTAATATTCTTTTTATCTAAAAACATTGATAACTGTACAATGAAGCATGGGTTTTAAATGCTCTTTTAAGTGCTACAGCACTTGTCTCCATAATAACAAAATATCAAGTGTAGAAACTAATTGATCTTGTGAACAAATCTTCGAGTGTTAAACATGATTTGCCAAACTTGGGAATTCACTTTAGCAATCCGTGCAAATGTCAATAAGTGATGCAATTACATAAGATGATACACAGCGTAGAAAGCATCGACCAAAATCTTGATAAATTCTAATTGATCATTTTTAGTTAAGTTTTATTAAGAAATCTTCATTAGAATATATATATGCAAAAGTTTATGTTCCAGAGAGAAAACTAGAAAAATTTTTGTATTTGACTTTGTTTCGTTGAGATATTACAATGTTAAAATGAAATAACTTAATTTCGTCCCACTGTGTGACCTTTTTCCAAAACGGAAAATGTTAGGTGCAGTAAAATCAGAGTCATTCATGATTCGGAGCAGTTCAACAATATCTTTCTTCTCCTGGTGTGATTCTTGCTACAAGATAAGAGTCATAAAAAAAACATTCAATACAATATACACATCTTTAAGTTTGTAAAGTCAAAAGTGCGTTGACTAACGGCAATCATCTGACATGTCAGCTACTTCGAATATCTCAGTCAATAACTATTTTCTATTTAATTGAGTCGATTCTACATGAAATGTTAAACATTTGCTTTAATATTATAATTTTCTTTCTATTTGATAAATAACTGTAGAATGCGTTAATGATAATCATCAATATGTTTTTTTTCAAATTATTGTGAAGCTTTGACTTTCTTGTATATGAAAATCTCAGCAATTTTTTTTCTAACATGTCTTGTAAGATTGATATCATCTTTAAAATATCGACTATGCAAATCAAAATAGAACATCTTTGGAGCTACTTTATTAAAGGCCATGCTTATAACATAATGGATAAACAGAAGTAATAATACATATGATGAGTAGAAATAACAAAATACAGTACAATCAAGATTAGTGTTAGAAAAATAGCATGTCAAGAAAAACTAACTTAACAAGTAGAAATAATGAACGCATTAGCAGTATGAAACCGAGAATACAGTCTTGAAGAACAATTATAAATCTCCATCGATTTTCATTATTTCATAAAGATGACCAGCAATTTTATCTTTATCCATCAACAATTCGTAATATTGCTGCTGCTTGATTAATTCCAATTTGGAGACCATATTATTACCAAGTAATTCTTGCATTTGAAAAATTTTTTTGACCATATTAATTGCCAAATCGTTCTTCTAAAACAATAAAAAATCAATATGAGACAAAAATTAAAAACAATATGGAAGAGTGTGAGTTATATACATCACTAAATGTAATCGCCATATTCTTATATGAACTTGATCGAATTGAATATCAATACGTAGACAAATGAGGAAGATTTTTTTTTTCTTTTACATATATATTCGATTTTTTCTATGTCAAGCCTAAAGGTCATGTTTTATTCGAATAAACAATAGATAATATTCTACATTAATAGAAACAAAAGAGAAAAATTATGAAGATGACCGTTGACGAGAGACTTTATTTCTATCTGACGGACAATGACAAATCAAATAGCGTAAAAAGTGAATGCAAACAAAAAAAATTTTATGAAATCAAAAAAATATTTCAACAATATCTTGCCGCAGAATCTGAAAGCACTTACGTATGCAATTTCCGCCTGTACATGCAATATCCGATAATCATCCAAAGGCATCAATTCGATATCAGCCATAATACAAATGTATGTGCTCGTAATCAAAGATATAAAGAAGACACGACGTCGAATTCATTCTTTGAATAAATGCACATTTCGTTTTCAGTATTTTGTTATGCCTAAGTTAGTAGTAGGATATATTATTCAGTCCACTATCTATCTATGGCTTTCTCTTCTTCTTCATTTCAACGCCTGGACTAGATACGATTTCTGTCGTTTTATATTTTATTTTCGTTCATTCTCTTCATTCAAATTTTTCTTTTCTCTTGATTTAAATGATTCATATTGAAAAAAAAATGCTATTGATTATAATGGCATGTTTAGCATGCAATCTCTTACGCATAGTTCGTTGATTATTTTCATTATTTGTCTGCGTTTCGATAGTTTATTTATAGACTGTTCACCTGAATATTTGTATTGCAATACAGGATTTATTTTAGAAGCGAAAGTTTAACTTATATATCTAACTCACAAGCCAGAGATGTCCACCGCGCCGCGGTTGGCGGCGCGGCACGATTTTTTTGCAGAAATTTACTGTATAATTCTAAAAAATTTCTAGCTTCACAGCTGAAATTATACTAGTCTTTCACATAAAGTGGACAAATTAAATTCTTTTTCTAAATGTTGCATTTTACGGTGATTTTAAAGTGCGGAGACTAATCTTTCGTTGTTCCATGAAGAACTTAAATAGTCAATGTGATCTCAGAAGCTATACTTGTTCTATATATACTTAGAAGTTATTTGTTACTATAGCATCTAAACCGTTATTCCTCATTGATTTCGAATGAAAACCAGACTGCATGACTATTGTAGACCGACAAATGGCATTTTTTCTTCATGTAATGGTAGTAGTGGTGCTGTAACCTTTTCTTCAAATATCACTGCAACAACGGCAATGTTTTTAGTATGTTGAGATGCAGAAGCACCGCGGCAACATGTATTTTATATAATACAGCGGCGCGGCTGCCTTCGATTTTATACCACAGCGGCGCGACAGCGGCAGGTTTTCAGCCGCGATGGACATCTCTGTCACAAGCAAATAGCTTTTTGATCAAAATTCTTATATTATCACACCAACCGAAGAGTGATGATATATAATAGAATTATAGAGTCCTGTTTGGACTATCAGTATATACAGTCCGTATCGGAACTATTCAACTACGTAATATTTCAAAAATTTGATGAGCTAGAATCATCTGGTTTTCGTCAAATGACATTTTATAGTCTCTAGTATATTAGAAAAAGATTTTTGATTAGGGGTGGCACTTTAATTTTAATTTTAAAGTTTAAAGTTGCAGTTAAAACGAATAGAGAATTGATAATGAACAGCTAAAAATTATTTTTCGTTTTAACTCGGATTTTTTAAAGTTAAAGTTCCAACCCTATTTTAGATCAATCTATTGATTTGTTTTTTTTTTTTTGGCGATACAATCACAATATACCTTTTTTCATTCTTTCAAAAGTATTTGACTACTCATTTTTCGAACTGTAGTATTTACGAAGTTCTATTATTTAATATATCATTAGCAAGAGAAGTACAAATTGGATCAGATATGCTATTTAAACAGAAATTTTATGTTGAAAAATTGTGTTACTCGTCTCTTATGTATATATATCAATCATACGTAGGTGTTCTTATACGGTCCCATTCACACATTGAAGAAGGTAAAAGTTATTTTAACAGTATGATTTGTGGATGAGTAAAGGAACTACAATAAGCTGTTTTTACTTTTTTGCTATTTGTAGTGTAACAAAGGTAAAGACCTGAACATAAATAATCCGTTTTGATTTCAAATAATTATAAGAGTTTGGTACGAAAAAAAAGGTCCCTACAAATCCACATTGTTAAAATAACTTTAACTTTCTTCGATGCATAAATAAGCCAGCATAAGATTGTCTATCCTGCGTATTTCTGTCTCTCCGTTCTCGAGATCATCTCAACAGGAAACGATAACTTTCGATGCGAATCTATCTCAATTTTCAGCAATGACATTTCAATTAACATACGAACGAAAAATAATTTCACCTGAACTTGATTCTGTCCTGTCGAGAGTTTTCATTATTTCTGATAAAAGATGGAAGTCAAATCATCAAAATTATTATTTTTCAGAAGTTAATGAATATGCACGAAAACGCATATAGAAAATTCAAAAACCTTTGTATCATCTCGAGACATGATAGATCTTCCTGACATATTTCGAACGAATTTCTAACAACTTATCGTTTTCTAAAACATTCCAACACAAAGAACGAATTTAGTTACAGCAAAAAACACGCAATGTATGGAGGCTGAATGCATACGCGACATAAATTCTGTTGTTCGCACTTTAAAAATTATAATTGTTTACTTCTATCGACATCAATAACATTCTCATACCTATCACAGACACTGTAGGTGGTCTTTTTCATAAGCTGCTAGAATCATTTAGCAATGTATACACCGAACAGAAGTGTCGAACAATGGCAAACGCCTATATTCCTTCCATCTACACCAAGTCAAGTAAAAAAAATTTTTTTTTTGTAATAAATTTACACTTCATAATTCAGTTATCCCAAGGTCCAATATATCATGTCTACAGTCATTTTGGCTGTAGTAGTAAAGATGTTGATCGTTGTTCGATGTGTAAATATTTATTACAACCGAATACTTATTTACATTCAAATCCTGAATCACTTATTGCTGCAACAAAACGTTCCAGCTTGCCACTAATTCAACGTCAACTATCACCAACACCTATCAAACCAATTCGATATGAAATTGATGATCAAAATGATTTATATCTCTTGCCGAAAATTTCTGGATCACCAAAAACACGTCGAGAAGCTGAAGATGCTGCTATCATTAACATATGTTTAAAAGATAAATCTATTGATCGAATTATACTTGTCGATGCTGATGAAGATAATAATCCTGAAGATGATGACGATGTTCTCTATGTACGTTTATATGACCTTGAAAAACGTTCAGGTCAATAGAATCTACATATGATTATAAAATAAACAGAAAAATGAATACATTTATTTAATCTAGCACCTCGTGTTAACAGTCATATTATTTTCCGATTCTACTATTTCAACAATCATTGTTTTGCTTATTTTTATTTTTTGTTTGATCACTTGTTTGTTCATCTTAATTATCTAATTCATATTTACTTCTTTAAATGGTGTACTAGAATCAACTAGGTGAAACACATGATGATACATTTATATTTATATCAATAATATTTTCTTGTTCTTCAGTTAGTTTTGATGTTGTTGATGGTACAACTTCATTATCATTTGTTTCAATATTTTTGTTTTTGATTTTATTTTCTATCATCTTTACCTAATGTATATTATATTGTACTTTTAGATAAGATACGAAGAGCATATGAAAGATGTCGTTACACTACATCGATAGTTTCGTTTTTTGTTTTTGCTAAGTTCACCACAGTAATAAGATGTAAGATGTCATATACTAATTTTCTGGTGATTTGTCATTCGAAGAATTTGATGGACCTCTATCAATCGATGTATTAATTATTAATTTTTTCTAAAATATTAAGCATTATTCTAAATGCATAAACGGATAATAAAATATCGAAATTATTTCAATAATTATTAAATGTATGATTATTAATTAGACTACTAAAAAATAATTTTTTTTATCAAAACTAAAATTCTAGAAAACCAAAAATCAAATTTCTATTATATTCATTGATGTTAATGATTAACCAATGAAAAAATACCAGAAAATAGTATATATAAGCAAGCATCTGCATATTCTCTTTCTTCCTTTCGACGAAGAATACTCATAGATCTGTCAGTATAGAAGGAAAAAAAAAAACAAGAAGTCATGTCAAGTGATGAACAAATTCCTGTCGTAGTTGAGGCTGAAAATGCCAAAGAATCTCATAGTACAAATACAACAGATGAAGATAATGTGAATAAAGTTAATGACGATGAACAAGTTCCACAATCGGATGAACAATTAACAACAGAAAAAGAAAAACAAGAAGAAAAAGAAGAAGAAAATAAATCGGAAACAACGGCAAATGCAATAGAAGAAAACAATGATGATGGGAAAATAAATAATAATAATAATAAACGTGATATTGATGAAGTTGATAAAGATGATGATGAGAAAAAAAATGGTCAACCACAAGATGAAGATGAAGAAGCTATTGTGTCAACAACGACAAATAAAAAAATTAAAGTTATGGGTCCATTATCAAGTGAAAATGGTGGTGAATCGGATGAAACTTCATTAACAAGTGCAAAAGTACCAAATGAAGAACTAACTGTTGTTTAATTCATTGTTGTCATTTTTAATTCTCATATCAAAACACAAAGAAACAAAAAAAAAAAAAAATGAACTAGTCAATCTATTTGTTTGTTTGTTTATGTGTGTGTCGCATATTTAAGTCTTTTATTATTAATCAGATATGTATAAGAAAAACAAAAAATAAGTCAACCGCTTTTTATGTTGTAAACATTAACTAGAAAATATTTGTTAGTTTAATAAATATTGTTTTTGTTCTAGATTATTTAACTTTAAATATTAGAATGGCATCAGCATCATCAACTCATATTGAAATACAGTGAGTTAGAAAGAATACAGGCATATGACCTATTAAATCAATGTTCATTTCGTATATAATTCTTAATAATAAATGATTATATCAAATATTTCAAGCAAATTGTACAATAGAATTTTAGTTTTATATGTGCATAAGAAACAGCTGAACCACCATCATCTCTTCCTCCTTCCAATTACATTACATATGTGATTGATTTCTGAAGACAAAAAAAAAAGAAGCTCAATCTAACTCCATCATAATTGAACTGCTAACACTCAATATACATTTCAATAAAAAAAAAATTATAAAATTTAAGCAAGAGTGTTTTCTTTCAACTTGAAAAAATATTATGTTTATAGATTATTTATTACTCGAGATAAATACGTATAATTGTTATTTAGAGATGAAGAAGCTAATACATCATTTATGCTTGGTAAACGAGATGTTTTATTACATAACTATCAATCTGCATGTGATCATTTATCAAAAGCATGTGAACGAATGTGAGAATATTTTCATAATTATTTATCGAAAGAAAAAAAAAACAATAACAACAACAACATTCTTGTAAATTTTTTTTCAGTGTAAAATTACGTGAAAGTGATACAGTAGTTGAACTTGCTGAACCATATTTTTATTATGGACAAGCATTACTTTATCTTGGTCTTAGTGAACAACAAGTATTTGGTAGTGATATTGTTAAAGGTTAAATCTAAAAATATTGAGTTTATTTGATAATATTATTTGTTTTACAGATGAGGATAATGATGAAAATGATAATGAAGAAGAAGAAAAGGAAAAAGAAAAAGAAGAAGAAGAAGAAGCAGATGATTCAATTCCAGATGATGAACATGTTAATGATCTTGAACGTGCTTTTGAAATTCTTGAATGTGCACATATGATTTATTCAAAAATATTAGAAACAGAAGCAAATAATGTACATATAATAACACGTTTAGGTGATTTACATGTTATGCTTGCTGATATATGTAATGAAAATGGTGATCATGAAAATGCTCTTTCACATGTACTTAAAGCTATTGAATTACAAGAAACACTTAATGAACAACAACGTTATCGTTTACTTGCTGAAAGTTATTATAAATTAGGTTTAATTTATGAATTAATTAATAAATTTTCTGAAGCTGTTGATAGTTTTGATAAAGCTTTAAATACTATTCGTCAAGCTATTGAACAAATAACTGGTGATGATAAAGAAAATGAACGTGAAGAACTTAAATCACTTTTACCAGCTATTGAACTTAAACGTAATGATGCTCAAGCATCTATTGCTGATAAATATTTAATTGCACAAGCAAGAAATCTTATATCGGGTACAAATAGTACAAGTCATACAACAGATAATAGTACAACAGAAACATCAGTTAAAGATATAACATTAACAATTCGACACAAACGACCAGTAACAGAATTAGAACAAATTGATGAAGAAAATAAAAAACCTAAAACTGAAGAAAATTAAATTTTTATTATTATTATTATTATTGTGTTGTTCATATTGTAAAGATTAGAATTCCCAAAAAAAAAAAAAAATTCTTTATACTAGAATAAAAATACTTTTTTGTTTCATTAAATTCTTTTGTTTATTACTCAAGAATAATCTAATTTCATCATTGAGATTCAATTTTTAGAATTTTATTAGAGAAGATAATTATGAATTTGGTAAAATAAATAATGGAAAATATTTTCTAAACATATTCATTTATGATTTTTAAATTACGAAAGAATAAGAACATATTATTTTAGATTTTTTAATATTCATGGCTAAAAATTTAATTCATATTTTATGTCCAAGTGGACATCGACGAAAAGTACAAATGATGCCTAATAGTAGTTTAATGCAAGTAAGCAATCTTTATAAAAGGCTGCTTAGTTTTATAATTCATTGATTAGTTTTTTCATTGCATCATATCAATTCAAAGGCTTAACTTTACTAATGACTTGTTTATTTTGAGATTTGTTCAGAAGTAGTTTCATGTATTAGACAATATCTATTATAAATCATTGGTATTCGAAAAATTTATTTGATATTCATTAGTTAAATATTGCAATAGAATGTTTATGTTTATATTCTAATGAATTCTGTTGGATGGAATTTCATCTTCGGAGTAACATAAGTTTATGATTATTAGAAATCATTAATCAATAGAAAGATTTTCATATATTTTCTTTTTCTTTGATAAGCAAAACTTCATCAACTATAATAGAATATTTTTTCAGGTACTCGAAGATATGTGTAATCAAGAAAATTTAGATTTATCAGATTGGGGACTCATGTAAGAATTAATTTCTTTTTTTTTTAAATCTTGAATCATATAAAAAAATGTGTATTAACAGGCATCAACGTACTAAATGTGATTTAACAATACCATGGCGTTTACAAAGCATTCCGACTAATGCTGTTTTAGAAATGTATAAACTTGAAAATCGTCGACAAACTGATGATATCAATGTTCAATTACAATTACCTGATAATTCAAGATATACAGGTTGGTTCGAGCCTACAGTTACTCTTCAAGAAATGCTTGATTGGTATCGTATACAACCAGAAAGGTAAGCATAGAAATCTTCTTTTTGTTTTTTTTATTCTTTATTATCATTTATGGTTAAAGTATGGTGGCTGCGCTTGATATTTCAATGAGTGATGATCGTAATTCATGTCCAGTCTGTTCATATATGACAGAAGAGGTACATTAAATAATTATTTCATCTTATTCTTTATATGCATGTAGATCATCGGTGAATATGCTTTATCGAATACAACATTACGTGAACTTGGACTTACAAGTGGTACAGCTGTTATTCGGTAAATGTTTTATAGATATGTAAAAAATATATTTGTTATTTATTCTAGTTACAATTTACGAGCAGTTACTGATGGTGAATTATTAAAAATAAATAGAAGTATTGATGATAAAATTGGTCGTCGACGTCAACAACAATATGAACAAGAACAAAAATCAAAACAACGAGAACAAACAACGAAATCTGAACCTGTTCGTTCTTCTTCTCCTTCATCATCGAATTCATCACGTTCTTTGGTTAATTCAACAGCACCAACATCAAATGATCAAGAATATTCAATATTTCGTGATCCTCCTCCAGCTATTGTTTCTCTTCCTACAACGACACGAGTAATATTTATTTTATTTTCTAAAATAATACCAAAAAGAAACTTTTTTCTTTCTTCTATTAGTCACAACAACATTCACGAACATTAGCTGAAGCACTTGGACTTAATCTCTCATTAGATCTTGAATCTGATGTAAAACAACAACAAAAATCTCAAAATGATTTTCGTAATTTTAAAGTAATTATTTCATTAAACAAACAAAAAACAAGCAAGATTATTCTATTTGTTAATTTTAGTTTCCCGAATCAACAAAAGGTAAAGATCTTTATCATAATGAATTCGATGATGACTATCGGCGTACACAAAATGTTCAAGTGAGTGATCGCATGTTTCTTTTTTTTCTTATTGAATAAATAATAAGTTTTTATGATTGATAGCCATGTGATAGACGTCCAATAGCATATGATCTAACAAAAAGTCGACCAAAACGTGATAATAAATCAGAAGAATTACCCGATACTTTTTATGACTTAACAGCTGATGATCTTCGATCAGTACTTAATGATTTAAGACAACAAACGTAAATTAATTTCATCATAAAAAAATCAACTTAATATATTATAATATTTATTTAGTACAAATGATAATCCATTAGAAACTCGTATTATGCGTGATCGAATACAATCAGCACGTAGTATTGTTTATGAACAAATAGCTATTCGACTTGTTGTCAATAATCGTTATATTCTTCAAGGATTATTTCGTCCTGAAGAACCAACTTCTCGTCTTATTGATTTTGCTCGAACAAATCTTATTTGTCGACATATTGGAGAAAAAGATTTTTATTTATATACGTCACCACCACGTGTTTTATTATCAGATTTACGAAAACCATTATTAACCTATGATTTATCACCTGCTGCTTTTGTTTATCTTGGTCATCGAACAATTTCACCACTTAATGTACAACTTGCATCAAATATTCCAATACGAACAATTGATGAAGCTAATCAATTAGCTGCACAATATGTTTTTAGTCGTTCAAGACCAATGAATGAACGTGAACGTGAACGTAATACTACTTTATATAATGAAAGGCCAACATCTGCAATGAGTCTTACAACTCGTTCGACACCACGTAATACATCAAATAGTAATATTGATGATAAAGCACTTCGTGATAAATTACGTAAATTTATACCGGGTAAAAAATAAAACATTTCGTATTTTTCTAGTTTGATTATTTATTTTATTCCTGAATTATTTTACAAATGAAACAAAATGCACTTTACTAACTTTTAATAAAAAAAATTTTTTTTTAATGTAAATATATTCATTTTTTTTCTTATTGACTTAATCATGAAGATTTTTTATGTTCCAATAAATTGAGATTTGAACTCAAAAAAAAAACTTTTTTAATCTCATTGGATTTTATTCAATGGAACATATTTTTGCAATATTACTTTAATTTTCTTTATGTAAGTCCTATATGCAATATTTTATGCATATTTATTCAAAAAAAAAAAATCAATTTTATTTACAATAAATAAATGCACATAAAAAGAATTCTCGAATATTCTTTCTTTTTTTTATAATTGACTCTACTTATACCTAATACGATCATATCAGATAACGGAACTCAAGGACAATATCAAGACAGAAATAGTTGAAAGACAATATAAACATAAAAATAGAGAACAAAAACATAACATATATATCATGTGGGAGTACAACTAAAATATCATACCCATAAACATTGTGGCTACGGATCAAACTTTGTCAAGTATATGTCTAAAATAGTGTTTTATGATTTATTAAAAAAAAATACGTTTTCTCTAATACTTATTAATAATAGTATCAATTTAAATCATATCTATATGCTAAAAATAAAACGATGATTTTTTTCAACGTTCAAAATAGTTTCTCAATAAGAAAAAAAATTTTATCTAGCCTTGTATTCAATAATCAAAGATTTACTATTCTGTTATGAATTCCATTAATCAATCTTTGAATGCTTAAAGGTTAACATGTATCATACATATTTATAGATTACTGGCCTTACTTGACAAGGACAACAAATAATGGCCTTGATACGGCTCGTGTTATACTTATGCGCAGATAGAAATTCCTAAATAAACTTTGTTCTCTAAGTGCATAAATTCTGTGAAAATACTAATTATTCTTTTTTGTTTTATATCTTAAATTATGTATAAAATATTTCAATGGACAATTATAGTTCAAATAGTATCATCATTATATAGATAAAAGGTTTAATCACACGAATTCTCCTCAAGAACTTATCTATAGGATATAGTTCTTGACGTTAGTGAGAATAATCTCGTATGATCCGCTATAGAATTGATTTTGTTAGAAAACAAAAGAATTGTCCAGTTCTTAGTATAAACTTATATTACATTGAATTAAAAAAACTAAACATTCGATAACTATTAACATTTTTCAATGCTAATGTGCCGAAGAAATAAATTCATAAAAAATTGTTTATTTCATTCGTTATTTATCTGATAAATCATTTATTATTTAGCTTTAAAATCTTTCTAAATTATAACACACTGAAAATTTACTCAACATAGACATTTAACAAGGATTTAGAAACAAAAACAAAAAAAAACGAAATATCACTAAATATTAAAGAAAATATCTAGAAAAGTATTATGATGAGTTTTATTGTTTGTTAAAATCAATACAAAATCTTTGTTTTTGAATTTTGTGGTCGTCCAAATGCATTTGGATGTCTTCCTGTACAAGTATTCGATGGTCGACAACGACACATTGGACAATTATTTGTATCAAGAATATTTCCACATGGACAATAAACGTGACATGTTGGTGGACATCGGAAAAAACCATTACGTGAAAGTGGATGTGCTTCAGTACCAATTGGTATAAACCAAAGGCAAAGGCCAATGGTGATACAAACAAGAAATAAAAATACGGTCGTTCTCATTTTATTCTTATTATGAATGTATCAGATTATTTGCAATGTATTGTTTATCTTGCTTTATAGTATCAACTACATACTATATATATATATTTACGGAGAGTATTCCATACGCGTAATACTCATAACCTGCTTTTCTTTCTCTATGATATTTATACATAGAGTACATTACCATCATTCTCTGTTTTTTTTTTTATCTTCAGTCCGAATATTCGAGGCTTTGCTTAATATAGAACAAGGTCAATTTTGTTGTTTCTCTCCTTTTTCTTCCTGTTTGCAGTCAGAGAACAATAAGAAGATGTCACTAAAAGATGGTACTTTGTGTAGAAAAATAAATTAGATCAAAAGTACACAGAAAAAAAAAATATTCCGAATAGATAAAAATAAATTCATAGTTTTTCAAAGATTCTTTATCATAAAGAGTTCTACTCAAGTTTATAAACTGCAATTAAATCAAATTGATTAGCTGATCATTGAAAAGCAATGACTCATAATTGAACGTGTCGATCGATCAACGTTGTTCATTGATTTTTTTCGATATTTCTATCTATCAGCAAGAATGTGATACTGAGGTACTTCTGTATATTATTACACACACCCCTTCACCCTTACCGTGTGTATAATCTGGCAAGCAACACTGCTTTGACCTTGGCCGATCTCTATGTTTACAGAAAGAAAGAAATTAGAGAACTATCATAAAGATTAAGAAAGAAAGATAAACGAGAATAATACGTGAAAGAATATGTTTTAATCTGTTTTTTTTTCTTAGTTTGACTAATTTAATTAAAGATATTCTCATCATTACTTTACTTCATATTTTTAAATAAAAATCATTGAAGAAGAAAAAAAATTTTTTATATTCATCTGGAAAAAAGTAGATTTTGTTTACTTTTACATGGATCACTACGAAAT